AAAGATTTCCATAGTTAATGATACAGTAATTGTAGATATAGCATGATATAGAAGAATCATGAAGAATCCATACCCTCAAGGAAATACTATGGAGGAAAGAGTCTAAGATAGCCTAAGATAGTCTAAGATAGTCTAAGATAGTCTAAGATAGTCTAAGATAGTCTAAGTCTTGGCTAAGTCCTGCCGAAAGTTTCATCACTCATCTTCGCCCGTTGCAACTGACGGATGCCCGACGGAGGCTCAAAGGTCCGGGGAGGTGGGACGCCAGGCATAAAGTAGAAATCATCCTGAAACGAACGAAACCGAGGGCCGAAGACACCCGAAGGTCGTCTTACATGTCGTCAAATGTCGTACCTCTTGAATTTCCAAAACATGTCATGAATCCAACATCCAACACCAAAAAATACAGGTATACAGCGATATACGCAGCAGTTAGGCAAAGCTGAACTATGGGCAGAGATTTGCTAGGGGCCAGGCTGGAGAAAGGTCCCTTGCTGTACAACATGGTGCAGCCGGCTGCTAAGGGGGAATAAAATGAAATAACCATGAGGGAACAATGCAGTCGAACCAGCGGAAAGCTTTGAATGGCTTTCCAAAGTCTTTGCACGAGTGCAGGGAGGGCGGAGTTGAATTGAATCATCGTATAAAGCCATTGTAGAGCCTTTCAAAGCTACACATTGCACGCAAGGCTACTGAGTCTTGATGTATGTTCATGTATGTTCATGGATGGACCCATGGACCTTGATGAAAGTTGACCGTACTTCTCCGCAGGTCCAATTTGACGAACATTGACGAACAGCCACAGGATGCCACATGTCATAGCAGTGTTTGAGGCCGCAGCTCTGTTTGGTCAGGTCGACCTGAACAAAAACAATGTCTTCAAGTTCTGCGTGGCAAGGTTAGCCTTTGAATATCTTTGAATGCTTTTGATGGTTTTGGATCTGTCCAGAACGAGCGATAGAGTAATATTAATGTTATCACGTTAGCGTTCTCTATTTGCTTTCCATTTCTTGCATGCTAAGTTCCAACAACAGCATCTTGGGAAATGAAATCAGAAACTGCGAAGCCTCACAAATTCAAGTAGAAATGTTGGATGTATATACATCTCCTATCTCCTAGGCCTCTCATCTAGCTGAGGTGTTGATTGTTGTTCTGACCCGGGAGCTCAAACTGATCATACGACCTTTGGGCACACAAGTATTATGGCAACCTCGCCGCTCGCATGTAAAACTCTATGAGATTTTATGTTCAAATCTGTTTGGTATTCGGTATTCCTCAGGAAAAAACTCTCAAGAAAGCATGCATGGAAAGCAGAACTTTACCCAACGGCTTTGAAACGATTGAAAAAATGTTGAGATTGAGCACTGGCGCCTTCTAAGAAAGATAGTTCGTGTTCCTTATCCTGAAAAAAACATTTTATCCAAGACCATCACAAATCACATGGTTTGGCAGAATCCCAACATTCTAAACTTAGCGAAGTGCCTTTGGTTTTTTCAAAGTCAGCGAACAAAATTTTGGAGCAAGAAGTGAACAGGAAACTGCTCGAGATACTTCATCAAAATCATAACATATCATAATTTCAATCTTAAAACTGCAACTAGTGTAGCTACCTACTTCCACTGTGCCATAAATTCCAAATGCCTTCGTCGCCCTCCATTCTCTGTCGAGGACTCATGTCATCCAATTGAAACCTTGGGCTGCAAGGACAAAAACTCAGGGACCATATTCACTTTGTGTTAGTTAGGTTCATGCAAACCAGCAAAATGGGAAATGGCAAAACGACCGGAATGACATGGCAGAACCTTAAACACTTCGTATGGAAATTGATTTGTTGCATTTAGCTGGTATTTTCAGCACATTTTTTAAAAACACTTCTGTTTGCGGTGAAGGAACTCATGGATTTTGAAATGACCCGGAATGTTGTCATATAAAATTCATAAATCCAAGAAGTGATCAATCGATGAAATACCCCTGGATACTAGAGGATAATTAATAGGTGAGCTGCGATGCGGTAAGAATATTTTGCATATACCACCTCAACCTTTGAATCCAAGAAACCAAATCCTGGTTTCAAAGGGGCCAAGAGAGCCTAAAAATGAGCCCAACTGCGGGCCTCAAATACTGGCATTGATCAACCGAGGGAAACCGCCAGCTACTTGCACCGCAACTGAATGCGCAAAATATGAACGGATACGTTGAATTTCAACATTTTGCAAATTCTACCTGTACAAAATGTGTAAATATGTGTAAATACACAAGCAAATATAAGTATATATATATATGTGTGTGTTTAATACCTCATGTACGTTTGTAGGAAACAAACACGAAAGTCAAATATCGCATAAAAAATGTCAACAAACAACTACATGTATGTACATGTTCACATGCTCAAGCCCCATGATCTACTGAAGAAAGTTTGATACCAACCGAAATTTGACGGAACATGACCAGTTTGATACTATTCAATTATTATAATTCCTAATTTTTTCCGCTTCAAAAAAAATGAACTGAAAGTAGATTGGTATGAGCCGTTGTCAAAACTGATTGTCTTCGCTAAGTTCCCGAAAAAAGGGTATCGCTTTTGGGGGAACCCAATCGCTATCCATGGTTTTGTAAAAGGGGGAAAGGAAAAGGAAAAGGAAAGGAAAGGAAATGAATAGGAAAGGGAAAGAAGCGGAAGAGGACAGGGTCTATTTGTGGTTTGGGGTTACTTTTTGCACAAATGGGTATCGCGAAGGTATCGCTAGGGGTATCGCTAATTTTTGCCTCTTGCATGCACGCAAATTTGTGCAAAACAACTTCAGATGTGGACATTATTCGCAATTATGGCTATCGTTTTTGGAAGCTCTGTCGCTACACAGTGTTTGGAGCACTTCCAAACACAAGAGAACTGCCCTTTACATAAGAAGTAATAATTATGCCAGGGTTTTGACCGTAGCTCATATGAATGGAATGCCAGGCATGCCAATACCTAAATTTGCACAGTTTTTCTCCGGTTCACGGCATGGCTTCAGAAACATGGCCATTTTCAACCTCAAGATATCTTGCATCTGCAAATCCGATGGACTGGCTACGTCTAGCTGTTCATCAACCTGCCACTGGGTCACTGCAAGAATTAAATCTTGAATTCCCGTCAAACACATAAAGAGTTAAAATGCCCAAATCGAGCAGACTATTCTGGCCAGTCGGACCGCGCAACGCAAACACGTAACAAACGCGCAACGCTAATTGCTGAGTAACAGTAGGACCGCGCAAGACGGTGCCACAACGGCATGCACTTTTTCGACATGTCAACTTCCAAAAGTGCTTGCTCCGAGCATGGTGTGTTTTGTACGTTTTGAATCATTTTGACTTGGAAATGTGCTTCGCGCCACAATGGCGTGCACTTTTTCGACATGTCAACTTCCAAAAGTGCTTGCTCCGAGCATGGTGTGTGTTACACATTTTGACTTGGAAATGTGCTTCGCCCCACAACAGCATGCACTTTTTTCGACATGTCAACTTCCAAAAGTGCTTGCTCCGAGCATGGTGTGTTTTGTACAGTTTGACTTGGAAATGTGCTTGGCGCGGCAACGGCGTGCACTTTTTCATTTCTCATCTGGCCAGATGGCTCCGCACCCGCTGCTTTAGCGAGCCTACTTTTCGACCCTCCGGAGCCACAGATCATTGGAAAAACATGGAAAAACACAGTGTTTTGCGACTTTGCTACCTTTTCGCTCACCTGCATCTTCTGTCTTCTGACTGTTCCTCTTCCCTGATCTTCTTTCTTCTTCTCTTCTTTTCTCTGACTCTTCCCACCTCTGCTTTTCATCTGTCCATACTGTTGGAAGTTTGACTTCTAGACTTCCTGCGGATATCTAAAGAAAATGTGAAGAGTCTTCCGTAGATCATGGGAAATCTAACCTAAATATCTTTACATAATATTACATAATTATACATATACAGCTATACTATCAGAACCTAAAAAATACTCTACATATCTCGATTTCGCAGCAAGCAGGTCATCCCATGCGATTCGCACTGTTACCTCCGCCGGTTCTGCGCTCCTTTTTTGCGCCTTGTCAGCAAGTCCCTCCGGGAGGCCTGGCGCTGCTCTGCACCTGTGATTCCCAGGTCTGAAATCAAAACCTGCAGAAAAGTCATGAACAATAATGTAAATAGAACGAATAGAATGAAATAGAGTACTGTAAAAAAAATGTGTTAATACATGTTAATACTATATGTAGATCTCGTGATGTCTTGCAACTACATTGTAGCATCATCCCATTGAACCGAGATTGTGGAAGATCATGGAAAATCTATCATTTTGGAGATGGCTCAGTTGCTTGAGGAATCTTCAGCATATGGATACAGCATGATATGCCTTCGGAGCATGCCTTGCTCTGGGGCTCAGCTTTCAACCTCACAAAATCTCCGTGAAATGGAGACACTTCATTTTCTCGCAAAAAAACAGGAAGAGACTTGGGCCACTTGGGTATATCAATACTGTATATCAATGGTCATGATGAATCCACTTCAGGTACGGCCGCAAAGGCATTCAAGAAATGGCGTGCAAAATGAGAAGAAAAAGGCCATGGAATGGCTCCACAATGCTCCACAGCGTCTGGCATCGTCTCAGTTGCGAAAGCTCTGAGCCGTCTGAGGCGTCAACGCGTTTTGCCACCCTTTCATCACCCCATTTTAAACGTCCGGCAGGGCGAACTTGCGACACCAAAACCTCTCAGCTGCTATCTTCGACCCAAAATTGATACAAAATATCCCACTCTGCTGAACATCCTTGAGTTTTTGTAAATACCTTAATCCATGAGAATGCGAGAAATGCAATGGAATAAAATTACTGTATGAAATTGGACATGGAAAAAAAAGAAATATGAAACTTATGAAACATACCTCCGTGAGGGCACCTGTTCTTCCGGATCGAAATGGATCCGGAGCTCACCGAAGAGGCCCTGGGCGCACGTCAGTTCGCTCCTGCGGGTGAGCCCATCCGCTAGAAACCTTTAACATTTACAATCTTTTGGTCATAGTACAAGGTAATACAAGTATAAAGTCTTAGTCTTAGTATAAAAACACCCCCACACACACTTGCTCACAACAATCTTTGCGAATTCTGATGTGGAATGCATCGTACATGCAAAAACACTCCAATTACACCTGACAGGAGTGGGTCGGTGAAAAGACCCGAGAAGGTATCAAAAAGTTTCCATCGCCATAGCCTATGCTAGATGAAATGTTTGACAGATTGCGAGAACCGTGCCAAACGAGAAAAATGAAACCAAGTTGTTTGGAAACGGCATGGCGGTTCTTGGGTTAGCCACGTCCCATTGCAGAAAATTGACATGAAAAATTAAGTTTGAAGCAGGTACGTCAAAGGGACGTCTCCCTTTGATATCACTGACTTCTGGCCGTCTTCGTTGGCACAGGAACCAGTCACACCTGTGCTCCCTGCTACAAATCAGGTAGAAGTTTTACATCTGTTCAGATGTTTCACACACACGCCCCGCTGCCGCGGTGTTTTTAAGGCTCCGACAAATGAGATGAAGGTGAAAATGAAAGGAAAATGGAAATGAGATGACGATGAAAATGAGATGACAATTACTTAACCGGAACGCAAGAGGGGGAACGCAAAAAAGGAAAGGAAAAAGGGAAAACACCAACACCAACACACCTAGCCCAAAACGGGCAAACCCTGAAAGGGCAAGGGAAAAGAAAAAGCGGACGGATGACGGGCCAAACACCAACCAGAGGAGGGGGGGGCGGACAGAAGCGCCTGACACAACCTACAAGGCGAGAGCCAAAACCTACCTCGGCACGTGAAGGACCCAAACCTGACCTATAGAGAGGGAGCACGCATGAGATAGGGGACCAGTGGGGAACTAGTTGATGAGATTTGATGCATCCACACTGCCATGCAGAGTCCCCTATTCAGGCCCACTGACCTTAACATCGAGTCAACCCTGTAAACGGCTTAGTGATCAACCCTCGAATTACGTGCACATTTGAACCGTACCGGAGACCATCAAGAGAAAGAAACACCACACCTAAAGGCATGTCCTGAAGCCTAACCTGATCATGTGACATGTTGCAAGTTGTTGAGCACCGTACTCTCTTGGGCAAAGTTGCAAAAAGGAAATGTTGCTGCGGCTTCAGGCTATGTCAACACTATCCAGCAAAAAGTGGTGAGGCCAGGCACAGCGGCACGCGGTTCAACATCACGACAAGCAACAGGTGAGACAGTGAAATAAGGCTGGCTGTTTCACTTTCCTTAAACGAATTACTAGGTTGAAAATTGTAAATTCAGAAGTCATATTGAAGACTCACTCTCCTACCTGGAAAGGTATTCCCCGAAGGGTTCATGCCACCGTGATGAATCCAGCATGAATCACACACTTGCTCAGAACAATCTTTGCGAATTCTGATGTGGAATGCATCGTACATGACAGGAGTGGGTCGGTGAAAAGACCCGAGAAGGTATCAAAAAGTTTCCATCGCCATAGCCTATGCTAGATGAAATGTTTGACAGATTGCGAGAACCGTGCCAAACGAGAAAAATGAAACCAAGTTGTTTGGAAACGGCATGGTGGTTTTTGGATTAGCCACGTCCCATTACAGAAAATTGACATGAAAAATTAAGTTTGAAGCAGGTACGGCAAAGGGACGTCTCCCTTTGATATCACTGACTTCTGGCCGTCTTCGTTGGCACAGGAACCAGCCACACCTGTGCCCCCTGCTACAAATCAGGTAGAAGTTTTACATCTATTCAGATGTTTCACATACACACACATGTATATATATATTTATATTATGTAAGTCAGTATAGTATAGTTGTCAAGTGTTGTTACTAGTAGTTATTAAGTGCACGCGTAAGCATAGGCTCATCTGTACCATCTGTTAGATGCGTTTAAGCACGCAATGCGGTAAGAAAGCTTCGACAAGCGAATCTCATTTCAAGTTCTTCAATGGCCTCAACCAAGGGCTTTGTGAATCTTCTGGCTGCAGCCTACAAAGCTAAAGAAATACCAGGAAGTTCAGCCGTTCAGCCATCACATACGAAAATCCAAGCCGGGTCTCTGGCATGCCAGTCACCTGGAGGATAAATCATGGGAAATCCATGTGAATCCAAGCAAAACAAATATAAACAAATGCACCGGAAGAAAGAAAGCTGAAATTCATGCAGGAATCAAAAGAAGCACAGCTTGCTGGAGAAACTCGGACTGTGCCTTCTGCCCATTGGGTAATGTTTGCTCAAAACCTCAATTTTCAAGTCTTCAAGCGCGTCAAGAACATGCTGCGAAGACATAGTCCCATCTTTGAACTACTCGCTTTCATGCCATTTTCTGGATTCTGGGCCCCCCGCTCAAAACGTTCCCTGCCTGACATGCTCTCAAAAAATCTAAACGAACGGGCGAGAGCAAAGAACAACTCACTGAGACACAAAAATGCTGTAGGGCTAAGCTGCCGCCTAATGTTATTAAATTCATAAATTGGTCGTGATACTATTTGATACATTTTGATACTATTATGTTCTGATGAAAAACGACACAAAGGGGCTACAAAAGCAGCCAGAGCTTGGCGGAGCTCTGAAGAGATTTCTGTGGCCCGAGCTTTCCTCACCAAGTAGGTGAATTGATCTGCCTCCAGCCACTCCAGCCACTCCAGTCACTCCAGTCACTCAAGTCACTCAAGTCGCTTGTTGCAACCCAGAAACTGGTGATTCAGCAAACACACACCCTGAAGATTTTTGAAGCATTCAGAATTCAAACTATTCCGGGTCAATGAGCTTTGGACGTCACCTGTCTTGCCATAGCACCACTCCCCGGTAATGTCCTGCAATTCACAGAGGTTTTGTCCCACTCTGCCACGACCTGCCACAAGAGGCAGGAGTCACCCAGTCTACGTCTCCATCAGCCCATCCTCGAAGTCTTCATGCGGCAGCATTGTCTTCATCACGGCAGGCCTGCAACGAAAGAGCTTCGTGAAAACGACGCCAAGAAACTGCTAACATCAAACAGCAGTAAGATTATATAAAGGTATCACTTATCACATATAGAAGAACGTTTCGATATGTTTCAATATCCAATATCCAAACTGCCAAACGACCGTTTTCTTTTCTGGTGGCAGCAGGACTTTTATGTTTTGACTAGTCATTCCCAAGGTTCCATTCCAGTCAAGTCGCGATGCTGGATACATGCCATTCACGGCGTTCATGGCACTGTATCCAGCAGGTGGCATTGCCCTCAGCGCCAGCAAAGAGAGCGGAAGGATGCGAAAGGGAGCTTGGCCCTTCGGAAAATCATTCGATTCACGCAGTATTCGTGCAGCGTGCAACATTGAGAAGCACGATGCTACAGGAGTTTTTGTAAGTTAGTCTGTCTTGTTATCAATTTTGTCGATTTCTTATTACAATTATGGCCTTGAAACTGCATCATTCGAGATCATTCATATATATTATACAATATTATACATTCATCATTCATGCGATTCCACTTTGCATCGTAACAGTGCGGGCACCGTCAAACAAAGCCTCAAAGTCTGTCCACACTCGGGCCAAAGCATGGGCTTCTGCACTGCACCTGCAAGAGCCCCCCTGGCTTCAAAGGCCCCCAAAAAAAGTCGGAAAAAATGCGTTCGAATATGTGTCAAATATGTGTCAAATCATGTCAAGTCCACAAACCTAGAGAGGACATGGCAGCTGTGGTGTGCTAAACATAATCAAATAGGTCTTACTTCACCCTGAGATACCCTGAGCCCGTGACGTATGACTTCAAAAATGATTGGCCTTGGTTGCATTTGGCTGCAAAAAATGTGACACTGTAGTTAAGGCATCAGCTGCGGTGTCCGTGCCCGTAACTCCTTGCAACTCCTTTATCGTGACGCTGTGTGGAAGGAAAGCTCCAAGTCGTTGGCTCGCCAGTGGTTTCATGCTTTCGTAGAGCATCCTGGCAACACACTCGCATGGAGATGCAAGAACATCAACCAGCAAACAATAGCAAACGGATGCAAAGGAGCCTTTTGGCCGGAATCCAAACTTCATGACTCACCTTCTTTTCCAAACTAGTTCAAAACACTGTATTTTCTAGGTGGCGTCTGCAGTGTGCAGAAAGAAATTTTGTTCGTCAGCACACTGTAGCGGACATTCATTGCCTTGACGTGCCCCGTCGTGCTCCCATGCCGCATGCTGCCTTCATGACGAATCTGAAGTCTGACTCCTGGAAAACTGGAATCGCATTCACCTGACACAAAAACACTAAGCACTGGGTGCTTACGTCCACCCTGGAAGACAACATAACACAACAGCACGCTTGGAATTGAAACCGATTGACACCGTGTTTTCCGTGTTTTCCGTGTTTTCCTCTCGTGTTCCAAGGAATTCCAAGGGCCAAGCCTGGACGATTCGGTCTCCAATCTGAAATCCAAACTCATGAGCCTTCGGCGATTCGGCGCCCGTACTGTGTGATGTGACGAGGAAATCTGTGATGCCGTGAAGCCGTCAGCCGTCAGAGGCCGCTGACGCGTGGATCGCCAAAATTGTTCACGACCAAATCGTCCTCGGAAAGGTTCAGACCTGAGAGCGAGCCACATAGATCACATAGGGCGCATAGATCACATAGATCACGTGCTGGGAGATGATAGGCATATGAATGCATATGAGAGCATGCAGTATGCTGCTTCAAAATGCTTCAATTTTCCCAAAAGGCGTGCTGGTGATTTGTTGAACTGCCCAGACTAGTTCAGGCGCTGGCCTACCCTGCCGCCCTCCAAAGGGCTTGGCACCATAATCTGGACCCGATCTAGGGAATCTCCCCGTGTCTGCCTCACGAACTGTTGAACAGAGATCTTAAACATGTCCAGCACAACCAGCGAAGTTAAGCAAAACTTGAATGAATCCACGCTGTGCCAGCATCAATGACAATGACTCCACCTGGTATGTTGAATATATAGCATGGTAACTGGTAAGCTCATTGATATAGAATGAAATAGAATGAAATAGACAGACATAGCGCATATGGTAAGCTCAGGGCTCGCCAAAGCCCCACAGGGTAGAGCCGACCTTGTCCTCAGCCACCCAATCACTGCAGGATAATTTGATGGACTGATGGATTTGATGGCCTCTTGACTGTTTTCACCGATTCTGAGGACACCATGAGACCATGGTGCTCTATCTAGGCTTCCCAGCCATGTGCGGCTGATAGCTGTTGTAAGTGCGATGGGGCCTCAGAAGTTCTGCCTTCTACATGACAAACAGATTACAAAGACACATAAGACACAACAGTTCTACGTCTTGCTGCTTCATGTTGCTTCTGGTTTCACTTGGTATTTCCTCGTTGAAGGTCTCAACAAGCCACTGAAGGACATATCACCGGGTACGGTGTCACTCAAGGTCTCCATGACACAACGGCCAAACTGGCTGAAGTCTGGCTGAAGTCTGGCTACTGTGTGCCATTGCATGTTGCTTCCAAGAGGCCAGGGAGACTTGGGTTGTCCAATTCCCATGGCCTCGCAGCATTTCGATCTGACCATGACTACCATGACTACTACAGTGGCAACATGTTGCAACATGTTGCAACAGTTGCATTGCAACATTCTTTTTGGATCTTTTTGGCCTCTGCACTCGACTCCAAATCTCAAGCATTCTCAAGCTCTGAGGCGTTAGCCCGGAGGCGCTGTGCCAATAGGGCCTTAGAAGGATGGGGACAGAATCAGCAACCCACAGAAACCAATAGAAACAAAGTCAGACACCAACTTTAACATACCTTGAACTCATAATTTGCATGTCAGAAGACGACTCAATAGTGTGACTCAATAATCTAATGAGGACGGCCTACAACGTCCGACGCGTTTACTTTGTTTAAGTTACGGGCAAACAGGCGCAAGCAAGTGGCACAGTACAATACAGGAAAGCAGATGGACCTAGATGGACCTAGATGGACCTCGATGCTTCTCAGATTTAAGACTCCAGCGGATGCACTTGGCAGCCGATCGCGATTTGCGTCCTGTGGCTCCGACTCCAACCCTGGAGTTTATCATAGATAGATAGGTCACAGTTCATCATAGTTGATAATATATATACGTATATATATATATATATATATGGTTCTCAATAGTTAAGAGCTACCCGTTCACCACCACTTCAGCTGCTACTTGTTTTGCCTTCCGAGAGCCCCTCCTGAGCTACTCCCTTCACGAAGATTAAGGAGATACAAATGCTCAGCAGTGACACAGTGAAACCACCAACGGCCACAGCCTTAGAACAGCTGCAGCGTATTGCAAAGTGCCAGCATGTGCCAGCAAGACTATGAAACAAATTGTAAGATATTTTAGGTGGGTAATGGACATCTTCACAATACAAGAAACTGAGCGGCCAAGGAGAAACAAACCACTACAGTCACTACAGTCACTATAGTCAGCAGGGAAAGGTCGCATGAATTCGTTTGATAGAACATGATGCTTTCCTTTGAGAGCTGGGCAATGATGAAATATGGGGCCTCTCCCACCTTCGAATGTGTGAGAGTTGCAAGTGCAGGGAAACACGTCTCAAAACATCTGATATCATCTGATATCATCTGATATCATCTGATCACTGCATGTTCCTTCCGGTTGAAAGATGTTGAAAGATGTTGAAAGATGTGACTGCGCAGGCCTTGGTTTGCACTCGAGTTTGGGCTAGTGCCATGACCTCCCGGCTCCACAGGATTCCACAGGGACAGCACACATGCCACAGTCATCCACAGTCATCCACTGTCACTGTCACTGGTACTGGTTTCGCCACTTTGATCGTTGTTTTCAGTAAGACTTGCGTCTCTCTCTCTCTCTCTCTCTTTAGAGTTCCAATTGAAATGATAAGAAACGCACTCACAATTACAATATCACGATGATCTGACGTGTCTGCATCTACGCACGCACAGGCGACTATCCTGCGAGGAAAATATACCATTCAACAAATACTAAAAGCTTATGACTATATTATACATTTGTATCTTATACAGTCTATACACAATTTCAAAGTCGCACGTTCATTCACGCAGCACGCGTGCATTCTTGCATTCAGCATACACCCGGAATACACGCACACATCCTTACTGGACTTCCTCTACAGCACGTAGCACTTCATTGAAGGTTCCAAATTCCAAAGGAACAGGCATTCTGCCAAAGTCTACTATACAGAATATACATCCAGCAGAACTGATGGTAGATTGAATTGCATCAGAGTGTAAAGAACACCAGGCACAATACCACAACATAACCGCCAAACTGAATTCAATACAATACTGATACAAAGCAAAACAAATGTGGTACAGTATCATCAGTGTCTGACAATACTTTGATGTACCATCGATGGGCAAATGTATAGATAGATGGTACGCAACATGTGGAGGCATGAAGTCAAACTGGCATCTTTCACGGCATCAAACACATGACAATGAGAACGCTGTCATATCGTCATATCGCATTAAAGCAAAATGGATCAAAATGATTTTGCCAAAATGGGACAAACATGGATCAATGATACTGGCCTGCTTTAACTGAGGGAATCCTTCAGCTGGCCTCAGATTGTAAACATGATCTGGAGTCCAACAGTTGGTCCCTTTATAATTCTACTGTTTCAACATGTTTCAACATCTCTCCAAATTTCTTGTGCTTCCAAATCCACAGGGTCAAGTTGCACCGGATCCGACGATTCAGCCACGAGTGAAGCAAAAGGAACATCCTCTGCGGAAACCTGGAACAGATTGGAAAAGATTGGGACATCATGACCCATCCGAAAGATTGCTTCCAGAGAAAAGACACAAAATCCGTTGACTCAATGATTCAATGCCTCCCAAATTCAAACCGCGGCACCAAACAAAAAAAACAAAATAACATATGCAGTCACCTGGTGAACTGGTCGCCGCTTCTCCTTGATGGATTGCACAAAATGCAGCCTCAATTATCTCAATTTAAAGTGAAAATGATGCGACTCCACTTTTGCAGCTGTTTGTCAACGCAAAATCGAAGTTGTTTCTCTTTCTCTGATTCCATTGAAACCTGTGGCCCAAACCCTTGATCGGCTGAGCAATCCTGGAAAAAATAGAACCATGGACGTCAGTCATCATATTGAACCAGTTGGCAAACAATTTCAAACATGTAAAGCAACCAAATACGGCAAAACACGACAAAACCAAAGAACATCCAAGATATAAAACGTATTAAAACGTAGAGTATATATAATATATAATGTATCTTCGACTCCTGTTGCAGTGCAGCCGACCTGAGACTCTTCAAACATCTTCAAACCAAGGTCACTTAACATACTTAACATGACTTAACATGTCAAAGATGTAAATCCAAGGCATCCAAAGATATCCAAAGCATCCAAGGTGTGAGCCTTTGATAGCCTTTGGACATTTTTTGAATACTTCTGTTACCTGTCTCTGATTGTCTCCGTCTTAACTGTAGTATCCTTCAGGGACTGAGACTTTGGCTCAGCTATTGCTAGCGGAAGGTTTGCACATGCCTTGGGCAATTTCATCTAAAGCAGAACCCCCAAAAAAAACGACCATAAGACATCTCAAGAAGTCTGACCTGCTGTTTTGTTTGCTTGTACTTGCTTATCCTTGTCTTGCTCTCTGCGGCTCTCTGCTTTTTTTTGCCTTGCCTTCCATTTTTTTGCAGCATCATACGATGTCCAAATTCCACTCAGGGCATTGAGGTCCAATCAAGTATGGCCAAAGTCCGCATACCTTGCAACAGAATGTTGTCCCTTTCACAGCGCGTGCTGAATCTGGTGCTGGCCTTTCCCAAACCTGGTGAACACTTGCGGGCCCAGCTAGGTGGCTTTTAAAGTAACTCGGGCCCGATTTTTTGTCAAGAACAAATCAAGGTGATTATTCAAAGTTTTGGGGTTTGCTTGTCAACACTTTCTGAGCCACTGGCTCATGGCCAAGACCATGGATTGTTGCATAGAAGCCTTGACATCAAACGGATGTGACGACGTTGAAAAGGGCATGCGGCTGATATCAATGCACAGCGAGGAGAACATGTGACTCTTCTTCCTATAAAAGGTTCAAAACAGTTTCAAAACCTTTAAGCAACAATAAGCAACAACAAGCAACATTAAGCAACATTAAGCAACAGTTGGTTCTTGTTGTTTCATGTTTCCATTTCTTTTTTGTGGGTCTCTCCACCTTTACTCGGCTCACCTGTGCCGGTTCGGTTGGTGTCGACGGCACCGTCTGAGAGGACACAGCAGCAGGACATGAATCCCAGATATCCCAGGTTCTGCACGTTGCAACCGGTGCAACCGGTGCAACCGGTGCAACCAAAGAGTAAGCTGCACAGAGTTGTGAAATGAGACACCAAGAGCCACGGATGAACATGATTTGACAATGTTTGACATGGTGTTTAACAGTTTAACACTCCACGCATAAATCTCTTGCAAAGCCATGGTAGAGCTCAGAGAGCCATTTTGTCTCCGGACACGCTTAGATGAGAAACTTTGCTCATACTGCGGTCCAACATGGTCCAATCCTTTTTCTGTCCTACTTTTTTCTTGGCACATCACATTTATCGTCAAACAATATGTTAATATGCCATATATTGCCATCTTGTCTCATGTCTTTTTCGTATCTTTCGACTCACCTTTCGAGTCACCTTTCTCTTTGGTTGTCACTGTTGTCGCTGTCTCAGGATTGGGCAAGGGTTGGATCCCCAAGAATTTCGCCAAGGGCGAGTCACTGAAGAGCGTCTGCAGGACCCATCCGGTGGTGGCCGTGGGCAACGCATCGGTGAAGGGCAGCGCTTCCTCGGCGAAGCCCAGCACGGAGATCACGGTGCCACCGAACAAAGTCCGCAGCGCCAAGGCCTCGAACGGAGCGAAGGCCACGTCACCGACTTCGCCCAGACCCGGCAACAGAAACGTGGCATCACCTGCTGTGGCATGCTGCATGCATGCTGTGTCTGCTGCATGTTGGATGGCTGTGACATGCTGTATCATGCTGTATATGGCTGAGACATTCTGGGACTGTTTGGAGTTTTTCAAGTGCTTTATTTAGAAAATAACTGGCGCACGCCAACTACCAAACAAAAAGTGTTCATCACAAATCACTTAATTAGCTCAATAATGCTCAATATATTCCAATATGCCCTAATGATCTACAGCCTAAAGCATTCTGAAACACATACGCACTGAGATTCTGAGTCTGTAAACTGATGGTCCGAGACTGCTAGAGAAAACTATCGGACTTGCCGTGCTGCCCTTTCTGCGTTTGAGGCGGCTGCTTGTCTGAGGGCCCTCCCCTTAAACTAATCTATTCCATATCTATTCCATATCTATTCCTATAGGCCTTTGTGGAGTTCTCTCTGCTGTGGAGCAGTGGAGCTGGGCTAAAGGATTTTGCGAAAAGGAATGAACTGCCTCATCGGGCATGGAATGTCAGAAAACCGAGGACACCGGCAAGTGAGAAACCACAAGAAACCGGACAAGTCCCCCACCTGCCAAATCCAAAGCAAGGCATAGGAATAACTTCAGCCATTGCTCTGCTGGGACACGTTGGAGTTTCTCCGTCAAACTCTGAGCGGCACCACTGGCAGTTGCTGCAGCTGCATCACCAACTGCTTTGGCCGCTGAACCAAGAACTCGCCCTTCCTGTTCTCTTCGCACAGCGTAAATCTGCCCTTGAATCCAAAAAACGATGGCACCCACCAGTAAAGGAGCAAAAGGTCCAAGCCAACCACCAAACAGCTGATCTAGGATGGTCCCATCAATGTCCAGTGGTTCCACAAAGGGAAGATAATAAATGCGAAACGCTTCAGCACTTTCCACCGGTCCCAAAGGTCCAATGTTCCAACTGCGTCGGAGCACCCGAGTGGATCGGGGTGACCGAAGCCCTGCAACTGGAGATTCCTTTCTGGGTGCTACCCAGCTGGTGCCGCCCTGACTGAAACATACCAGCGCCAAGGTCAGGACGAGAATCTTCCAAGGCCAACTGTATCTCCGACGCTTTGCGCTTGCCATGGCACAATGCGAAGCTTGCCTCATGCAAAATTAAATGTGTCCTGGAAGGAAAGAAACAAAATCAACGACACAATTGAATATTCCAAACGCCGAGATGATTGGAATGGTGTGTGGCCAACGTCAAGAACCCAACTGGTATTCGAGACGCTTGCACGCAGGTAACCAGAAAATATGACGGAACAAAATTATATAAATCAATAAGTAATAAGAAGCAATAAACATTTGCAATCTGCACTCCAGACTTCGCAAAGCTGGTGCATGACCATGTTTCGGAATTCTTCAGGATTTGCAGTTTTCATATTATCTTGACAGTTCACAGCAGTCCAACTGCCAACGATAGCATGTAAACCACTATACGCTCTATACCACACCGCTATCTACTGCTGAGCCGGAAGCTCTATAATGCCAGAGTGTAGCAGCCGCAAATGTCAAGGCTAAACAATAATTCCCGTTTTAACACAAGCTGCTGACAGCACATTGGGCACATATCGGATCGAGTCCTAAACATTCTTCTGGTCCACTATTTGATGCGGTCGAAAGAACTGAAAATAGCAAATCAGGACGATCGCATTCCAATCCTATCAAATGCTGTAATGGAAACATCCATCACCAAGTGGCTGTCTTATCCTCATTGCTTTAATCTTGAAGTATGTGGAAGCAATCACTTCAAAATTATCTCACCCCTTTACTCAGGAAAAGTCGGCCCATGCTGCACCCTCAGTGATGATGTCACACCGCATACACATCAGCACCAAGCTTGGCAAATGGGCTGGACTGCCACGATATCAAGTGGGTCTAGATATTTGTATCCATGCCCTGAAGAACATGTTTCCCAAAACATGTAGAACAAGTTGTACGTTGCTCAACTCTCCGATTGATTTTTCAATTGGTTTGCAAATGTCTGTTTCTTCTTTCCTTTGGGAGTTCCGCATCCATCTTTTACTCCAGGCCAGGGCGAATTCAAGCTCAAGTTACACGGGCAGCTGTGGAGTCTTTGAAGCCACATCGATTTCAACGAAGGAACTGGCCAGCACAGCTGTACGCAATGTCCTCACCCATGGATCTCCATGGCTTACTCGCCATAGCCGGCGAGGCAGGTTGGTTGTTTTGTCGGTCAAAATCGCCGAAAAAAATGGAAAAACCTGGCCGCGGTCATTCAACCGCTACGCCGCGTAACCAAATGGCAGATGCAACGCTGACCTTGCACCCTGACTGGCCACACAACTGAAGTGAGCCCGTCATCAAACATTTGAAGCAACTGATATCCAAAGTTTCTAAATTCAGCAGTACAGCTCGTGGTGACAAGATAAAAACAAGATATCAATAGATATCATCTATAGACACTACCTTTGTATCGATTGGCAATCAACTCTGAATTCTATTTTGGTGCTTGGGGTTATCCATATCGTAATGATGCCACTCCTTGTGGGCTCATCGGCCATCAAGCATATATCAGCCTGGTAAAAAGTGACAAGACAAACTCACAGTACGGGATTTCAACAAATCGGACCATGTGCGGATTCTCTCTTTAATGTCCCATCCAAGAGATCAAGTGAAGGTCTCTCCTGGCTGACTTTTTTGTGAGCTCGTATTAATTATACGGAATAATTAAGCGAGAATGAATGTGGAAACAACATGATGCACGTGTCTCTTCAATCTTTTCTACCTGGGCAATGCTGAAAATAGTTCGCCCTGTCCGCCCCATGTGCAGGTGCTAAAGTGCTGTTGCATCTGCAAACCAAAGAGTGCACGAATTCCTGTCGACCAGAAGTCGTAGACTTTCCTGATGCAGTTCCTTGTTGTAGTTGGGATATATCAAATGTTCACATCACATCATCATATATCACCCGGGTGTTATCAAAAACATGCCATTTCTATATATATATACGTATGTATATATATACTAATTGCATATATTCTATATTATTCATCCTACTTCCGGTCCACGGAGTCAAAGGATACCCTTCACTCCAAGGTCTCGTTTTTCAAGTGATTCCAGTCTTCCAGGAGCTCTTGGAAGCTATCCTGCGGTATCTGCGGGGCTTCTCGTTCACCGATGTCATTTGCGTCATTGTCTGCAAAACATCAGGGAAGTGCCCCGAAGACCCATGGATGTAATGGACGATGGACGTTGATGGACTACTGGCCAAGCAGTCAAACCGACTAGTAATGGCTAACATCCTAAGATTTTTCCAACATCTCCCACCTCTAAACATGGCTAACATGGCTAATTGGAATGCGCGAGCAACCATAGAAGTATGAGGTTGAGCATGAGCCAAACATCAAAAAAGATCAAAAAGGAGGTCCTTCAGGCCCAAGACCACCTGTTTCACATATCGAACTTCTGCCTCGTGAAACAGCAACAAGGAACATAATCCTGGAAACATGATGTATGGGTCTATTTACTGGATATGGGTGTACATCTCTCAAAGTTGGGGTTGCAAATGGAGAAAGGGCCATCAACTATGAGATCTGGGGGCCATTAAACAAGCGGATATCTGGGCACGTCCATCCTCAACGGCATATCTACACAGATCCACTAAGCCCAGATTAAGCCAAGATACCTGCGTGATTTTTGCGTCAACACCTAGGCGTGCTGAAGCAACTGAAAGCAGTGCATGTCGCTTCCAACAACTGAAAGCATGGGCGTTCAAACCAACTTCTGTCCACATTTCCTGGCGTCAACATTCTGCACATTCACAAAGCTTCACAAAGCTTCACAAAGCTACACAATATGCGGAATTAATATCAATAAATTGTCAATAAATCCCGAAATATCCCGAAATAGAATGGAAATCTCTCCCGAAATCTCTTCCCATCCTCCTGGCACACCCGGCTCCCAAAGTATACCAAACCATCTTGAGCTCTGTCAAATAGATCCAATGGATCCAAATAGTCTTCCAAATAATCCCAATTTGTGATGTCAGATTCTATGTCCGGACGATCCTACTTGTTGTTTGACCCTTCGTGACTGGCGCTCCAACCTGTTGCATCACCTTGCAGCCTTAGCAACTGGATGTAAGTGGATGTAAATGGGAATCTCAGCCATGAATGCGACGATCCACATGTTCTCATTGCATCTCATTGCGTTCTCGAGTGCAAGTACAGTAACTGCAAAAAGAATCCAAAAGGGCCAAGCAAAACCATGAGATCCATGAGCAAGTAACTGGTAGCACCCCAGCAAAAACTCGTCGATGTCCAGCTCGCCCTGAGATGAAGTATACGACGACATTCATGAACGTTCAAACATATTTCTGGTGAGAACTACATGGAAGCGCGGATGACATGAGAGTTGTCCTGACCTACTAGCAGAAGGATTCTATATTTCTAAATGCGCTAAAACATGCTTTTCATGTGCAATATGGAACGTGAAATCCAACATGATTGAGGCACAAGGGTCAAGAAGTTGAATGTACATGCTGTGGGTGATCAATACGGTTGTGATGGTGATAACAATGACATACGATGACTATAAAGTATAAGGATAAAAAAGGATGACGATGACGATGACTATGAAGTGTAGGAAGATGGCAAGGATGACGATGATTTTGACAACGACGATGATGATATTAAGGAGATGATGAGGGCTACGCTGAAGGCTATGATTAGGGCCATGACGGAAGTGATATGCTATATAATGTGCCTATATGTGGCTTATGATGTCTACAACATATCGCCCCAAATGGAAGCCATGCAGAGCAGGGGGAAACCCAAAGGTAAAAATGCGAAACCATGAGATAAGAATGCTTGCACACAGCTGAGTTTGAGGTTTGAAGGGGGCGGGCCCTCAAAGTCCATTCTGTGCGCTTCACTACCCCAAAACGTCAACATCCCAATAAGTCTTCCCAAATGTCTCCTAGTGACCTAGGAAACTTGCAATGTCAACGTAGTGTTCTTGAAATGTCTTGAATGTGATTCAGATCCCTCTCAAACCTCGCATATCCCATGTGTAGGTGAGCAGCAGAAGCGTCAAAGTCAAGGAGATCGAAAAGAGTCGCAGCATCTGGGACACTGATTTTCCTGAAAGATTTTGCCATTTGGCCCCAACAAGCCCATCATAATTATATGCAATATTATGACATGAATATAATGAATGCATGTTCAGCTGAAGCGAACAGCAAAGGCTTTCTGTCAGGTCACAGTGCAGTGAAGAAAGCCATGATCGTCTCATTCTCGAAGGATTGCTCCAACGTTTCTCGCGAAATGACCCCATGAGAGTTCGCATCCTGCCAGGTTGAAGTCACTGATGGTCACTGGAGTCACTGGAGGTCCTGTTTTTTCCGTCAGGAGAGCAGCGAAAAAAAACACATCTGCTATGACTGCTATGAGACATAATATGTCAATATATGTCATAAGCGATTTCTGGATATTTCTGATATGAAAAGACTGAAATGAGGCCCTGGCAATGGCTTCAAAAAGAGCCTGCTGAGATGGGAATGCAAGTGGCAGTGGCGGCCAGTGGCGCACGTAGGAAGGAGCACTGACTCACACTGACTCATCAATATCTTCCAACCATGGGCCATTCCAACGTGTCCAAATCTGAGAATTGCTGGCCTTCACCGATTCCAAATACTCTTTTTTGTTTTCGATTTCCTCCTGCACCACGACATCCCTGTCTGTTCGGCCAGACCTCAAATGACAACATGGCTGCGCTGCACCAAAACTATCGGAATGTGGAATCTCTGGGGCCACAGCTGCAGAGCTGTATCAACCTGCAGCATGGTGGATTCACAGCCACACAGCTGCCACACTTTTCCGTCCCGCAAAGTGTTTAGAGTTGCCATCCAGCAAACGGGCACCAACATTCCAATCCACATCATTCCACATCATTCCACATCATTCCACATCATTCCACCATCCACAGGTTTTGGACAACGGTCAATCTGCAAATATCTGCAATAGATACAAGCTCTCCACATGAGTCTCAAGGCCCGGGCAAATACACCAGTGACCTGACCATGCCAGCGTCCCCACTGTTGGATTGCTTTGGACTTCCCTCTCGGTTGCTGGCAATGTTGACCACGGCAAAAATCGCAAACGTAATGTACCTAGTCATTCAATTCATCAAACATCTGAAAGCTGTCTTACTAGCTAGATTTTCCAAGCCCCGACGTTATCTAACACAATATGCACAAGTCGCACTGTGGAATGAATGGCCTAGCCAATTGCCGCTAAATCACAAACGAAATCATAAACGGACACAATCTCTATCCTATACAGCATCACTGCAATGGCCAAAATATGCCAAGATCACCAAAATCCATTTCCTGAAGGACCTGAAGTTCCTGAAGGTAGACTTTTCCAGAAATGGTTTGTTCAGAACCTGTTCAGGTCTCTACTCTCCGGGATTCTCCGGGTCCTCCGGGGGTCCGCTTGGATCATGAAAAGTCACCATCCGGGGATCCCCCGGGTACAAAATGAAGAGCAGTGGAAAATGCCATTCGCCATGCATGCTGGCGAGGTTCGCATAGTACCTGGAGAAATCCAGAGAATGCAGGGAGAATGCCGGGCACATCAGGGCACTCAACACAGACTTGGAATCGCCCTCGGCTTCGGAAAAATATTGAACAAACATGAGCAAAACTGCGGACCAAATACCACTAAGTCACTACACGTCACTACTGTCACTCCTCCTGGTGGGTTTTTGAACGTCCCAGTCTGGTGGAGTCTCTGTTAGGCTTCCGGCACTCCCCAGTCGTTCCCACCGCTCATGGCCTTAATACACATCAGCTCATTGAGGCTCCATATCTTCGCACCATTTCGCAACAGCATCAACATCAACAAAAAATCACCGAAGCTTCGCTTGGCCAAGTCGCCATGTAGAGGCTCAGGACAGCATTGCCCAAGCATCCGAAATGCTGCTGAAGTGCTTCCTCAGTCCAAACACAAATTAGACTTAGACACACTTAGACTGTGTTTGGAGTTTAGGTGTCATGTTTTTGTCCAGGTCGTCATTTGCAATTAGTAGCTGAACCAAACAGCGCAAGATGTAGGCTTGCAGTTGTTAGTTTGAAGTGGCAAATGGCTAATGAAAAAAATCCATTGCGCCAACGTATCTTGCATTGTTCAACGCTCATACTGGCCAAAACATGCCAGAACTGCAATAGGTGGTAGGCCGGTAGGCTGGTCCGACCTCCATATCCTCCATGGTGTTCGTTTCACAACCCTGTGCCGACATCGGCAGCTTATTGGCAGCCATTTAGGAGCCTCTCACAGGATGAATCTAGGTGGCTCATCGTTCCTGAGGAATGGCGAACGCCCAGTGTTTTCCCATCCTCGTAACCTTGAGATTCAGAAAACGTTGGAAGAATCAGGCGGCCAAGTATCATACCGTGGCAGTTGTCGCAGTTCTAAGGTGTCCAAATAGCCCATCACGCCACTCACAAAAATGATACCAAACATGTAGAAGAGGATGAAGAGGATCAAGATAATCCACAGAACTGACTTCAGGCAGTTCATGATGGAGAACACCATCATCCGCAACTCCCTGCCAAAATCTGCCAAACACACATTCACAAATATTCACAAATATTCACACATATTCACAATGAAAAACGATGGTGCTGCAAAATACTGTCGCAAGCAGTTTTGTCATCGCTTGTCCTGAAGAATCTCATGATGCGGATGACCTGGGCCGAAGGATGGCGAAGGCGAAGACTGTTTGATACTTTCTGAACTTTTTGGAAAACAGAACGATATATAAATGATATCAGAAAGCTACCAGAAACCTGCCAGAAACCATGCCATGCCGCATGCCAAGATCTGCCCATGCCGCGATCTGCCAAGGTGCTCTGACCACCCGAATGATGCGGACAACTCGAAGGACGCGGATCACGGTCAGCGTATTCAGCGGTGCAAAGGCTGCCATGCCCACGGTGAGCATCAGGAGTTCAGCAGCAAAATCGACCACGCCGATGAAGACGCAAAGTAAGTCCAGTAAATTCCACCACAAGTCCTCAAACTCCAGTCATTTCCAGACAATTCCAGGTTTGAAACCTGGATCAATGATGAAACATGATGAAACCAATGCTTAAACCAATTCTTTTCCACTGACATCATGTTTCAATCCTCCCCATCCCTAGTATTGCAAGATTCGCCCTGTGCTGCCCCATCTCCCTCTCCCTGTGCACACTCCTTCGTTCTGAAGAATTCAAAAAAGCCATCTGCTAGCCAACGCAAAGACAACTCAATGCTGAAGAGGACAGTAAAGAAAGCCTCCCACACTTTGAATGGCAGATCCGAGCTGGGACATGGCAAAGGACATGGCAAAACACCCACACAGCTGACATGGCCTGTCCCACAACAACTCCCTCAGTCAAGCGCCATGCACGCCATATCACGCCATGCCACGCCATGCCACGCCATGCAACCAAAGCTGTCATGGTTTGCAAAGATTTGCAAAGCTCACTTCGTTCTCAGTTTCTTTCTCAGTTTCTCAGTTCCAAACACTTGGAGTGGCTGTTTCAATCGCAACACTCCTGGCTCAGATTCTCGCGGAGTTTCGCCACATGTTTCTGGAAGCATGATCAAATCCGCACCAATCCTGCCCTCTATCATCTGAAAAAATCTAAAATCATCTAAAAGCCTCAATTACACAAGATGTGACATGCACAACACGCGTGATCTACATCTGACTAAATGGAATACAGTACAATACAGTATGGAAACTGACACATTGACGACAGGCAAACATGCGGCAGGAGCATGGCAGTGTTGGCCAGTGCCCGCTGCGCCATCATCTCCGTTTGCCAGCCGGTGAAGACGCAATTCAACCTCGGCTCACACAGCTGGATGCTGGAAGATGCTGGGCTCGATGCTGGAAGGCCGTTGTTAATGTTCACAAATGTTCACAACACATCTCGATGTGACACCCTGACATCCCTGGCATTCCAAGTTGCAGGATCAAAATTCCACTGAACCATTCATAGCACTTGCCTCGGGTTAACTTCTCCTGCACGGCAAGGCTCAGGCCATCTCAGGGATGAAAAACAGCTAGTTGTTCTTGTGATCCTCTGGGCCTTGTAAGGCCTTTAAGTATCTTTAAGTAACCTATACAGCCTATACATGTTACATATACCTACCTATACGGTAATTGTACTGACATTATTGAATATTGTTTGAATGTTTTTGAATGTTTTTGATATCTCATCACACGCACTCTCACCATCATAGACTCAACTCATCATGCCGATCCCCAGAAATCATTCCCGTCCAGTGCAGTGGCTTCAGCCAACAGTTCGGAGCGTTGTCTCTGTGACATGAACATGCCTTGGTAGAAAATCTCGCCAGAGACACCAGGCATGTTCATCAATCCCATTATATCCATATAATACCTCTTTATGATTCTATCATATATCCATTATATCCGGTCTTATAGCATTTTATTCCGATTATTATCCAATCCCATGACAGTCAGCAGGTAACTGGACAGCAAGGGGCAGGTGTGGCAGTTTCTCTGACTTGGACCATGTTATTTGGATGGAACAATGAGACTTTACACACATGTTACACCAAAGTCAGGAAAACTTCTGGGAAAGCATGATATACATGATATGAAAGCTGAGTCATGCTGAGTCTTCCACATGGTCATGACATAAGGATGACATAAGGATGGGAAAGGCTAAGGAGTGCACTGTTGTTGCTCGCCTTCTGTCGCCTTTTTCGATTTCTTTCTTTGGAATTGAGCTGTTTGTCCTGTCAAGCCACAATGCGTGGTAAGCGATGGACCATGGGACATCCGGTAAACTCGGGCTCCTATGACGTCCGCAGCTTGCTCAGACTGTACTGTATCTATCAGGCTGTGCCAGCGCGGGCCTGACCCAAACCACTCAGCTGGAACCTTGCCGATCATCGCGAGCAGTACGATCAAATGCATTCATATCAAAAAAATAGATTTTTCAAAAGTAGTGAAACATAGTGTGAAACATGCAAACAACACCAGCAATGGATGCCTTGAATTGTCTTGATGTCAAATGACAAAGTGATCAAACATTACATGATGAGTCACTTTGAGTTTCCAGCTCCACTCGTGAACCAGTCAAAGGGGAACCAATCGGAAGCACTGACCTTGAAGGAGGGTGGCAGCATCTAAACCGAGGTTGAACCAAGGTAGACATTTGGTGTTGGTTTCTCCTCAATGTACCAATGAAATGTCATGGCAGGCACAACCTACCGATATACACGAAACATACTATTTCTGCATGACGCATCAACTCTTCATTTTTCGAGATTCATACTGTTTTTTTGCCGCCATTGTTCTATTAAACCTAATTATGATGTTTGGATATGTTTGGTTTGCTGGGAGAGCTTTGGCAATGAGAAGTCGAAGCATCCAAAATCAAAACGCAGCGAATCTCGGAAAACCCTATCAGTGTACCATTGGCCAAGGCTAAGACGGCTAAGAATGCCAGGATATGACAAAAAAACAACGAACAAAAAACCTTCTGAGAAGAGCACAACGTCTGTGCATGTACTTTGACTTCTCCATCAGCCTGTGACACTCTTGCTAGAGTCGGCGGGGTCCTTGGCGAGATCAAACTGAAAGTATCGACTTCTCAAAGTCGCCAGTTTCTCAAGTCGCTACCTGCTATCGATGCGATTGGAACTGCTGAAATCACGTGGGCATCAGGCTGTGACGGCAAAGGGTTGACCTGTGCCACTGTTTAGCTGTGGGATGGGAAAAGATCAGCCGGCAGAAAATCACATGCATAAAATGGATTAAAATTGCATAACATATGCAAAACGAAGGACAAGTTGGGTCTTGCAAATCGAATCCGCCTGAACATTGTGAGCCGGCATCGAAGGAAGCACAGGAAGAACCTTAGGGTCATGATGGGTCATGGCATGTCATGGCCAAGGTACAGAACAATGAGTCCATGATTCTTTCCACCAAAATGCAAACGACAATGACTCCAGGTGTAATGGCAACTCCGTTTCATGGTTTCATGGGTATTTTGACGTATTTTGCACTGCCAAATCCGACAGAAATGGATGGGAATAGAACAACAAATGATCTCGCAGCCTGTCGCCACGAAATATGCAACAAAAACCGTATTTGTTGCTTTCAACCTCTCACTTACTCCCACTAGGTCCATTCGAAAGATTGCACTGGTTCCATGAAGGGCTGCATTGCCCCGTGTTACCCCAACATTTCTCCAGGTTGCGCCTCTAGTTCCAAACATCGGAAGAGTTCAAGCCTATGTTTTGCTAAAAGTTCGTCGACCTGGGTTCCAGCAACGCAGTGGCAACCGCAAACGCACTTCAACTAGCATAATCATAGCTAGTAGCAGCTAGTACGCATTGACTGCACATGACATGGAAACTGAAGGAACACGCTGTTCCAAAAATCCAGCGTGAAACAAATGACTGCGTCTCCGTGCCTCGTGAGACAAAACTTTCCTTCCTCGCTCTTCCGCGGCCTCTCTTTCAAGTTTTTTGCATGAATTCAAAAGACTGACATGAAACCATGCGCGCACACGGAAACATGTTATTTGTGTCAATTCGCACCCACATTTATCATTGGCAACACGGATCAAAGTTTTCGTTTGACAGCAGAAATCCCGAATTTCAATGAATTTCAAGCATGTCAAGGACAACTGATTCACGACACATATACCGACACTGCGAGCTTGTGGCCTGCATGGGAACGACCAGCGGCCCAACAGCTTGAATTGACCTCCCTTTTTGGAACTTGCACTTGGGCCAACGCATCCGGGCAAGAACAGCAGAACAGGCAAGAAAAGAAGATGTGAAGTGCCCAGCCCAACATCACACCACAATTGTCAATCCACCATCCGTGCAAAAGCCCGCGCAGTTGCGTGGCATTTAAAATATGTAAGTGCTCCACTTGGATCCATTTGGTAAGAAGGCAGCAAACTTGAAAGTTCCGAATCCCGAACCTGCCAGGAAACAATACAAATAAGGTGCAGTTTTTGCACTTTGCTTCAGCCACGGCCGTCCTTTACACGTTCCCCTTTACATACGCGCGCTGGAAGCGCTGGACGCACTGGAAGCATGCGGGCTACCATAGGTAAAAACACTAGGGTCACCCCCCAAAATAATTTTTAGGAATTAATCTGAGGTGCTTCTAGTACACAACCCACCGCAAAATATTTTTTCAAAAACACTCTAACCCACCTCAAAATAATTTCCTTTGACACTACCCACCCCCCCAAAATAATTTCTGAAAGGTTGCAAATAAAATATTTGGTAGGGTTCCACTATTACTCAAAAACACTTCCCTTACTTCAAAATAATTTTGGAAATTATGTCGAGGTGGTTTATGGGTTTTGGATGATTGAAAAAACAAGTAGAACCACCTCAAAATAATTAGCAAAAAAAAACACAAAATTATTTTGGGGGGTCACCCTACCTCTCCTCTCGAATGCACCCGACAAGCACTAAACCACTTGGAGGTTGCGGCACAAATCAAATAAATCATCTCTAAACCGACCCCCTTTCACACCCAAAAATTATTTTGGGGGTGGTTCACTACTGAACCACCTATTATTTAGACCATCGATTTTTGGACAAAGAAATCTGAATCGACCCCTTCCTACCCAATAAATTATTTTGGGGGTGAGGGTACCACCAGACCACCTCAGAAAAAATAATACCCTAACCTGGCAAAATTAACTTCCCCTTGAATAGTTCAAAAATACTACATTGAACCAAATTGAATCCAAATTGAATCAAATTGACCCAAGCTGTATCCAAATTGCCTCAAAGAGACAAACCCTGAGAATTGCAATGAATTACTTACTGGACTACTTATTTTTTGAACATCGACTAATCATCGACTTTTGGGCAAAGAAATCTGAATCGATTCCTCTCTCCCCAAAAAATTATTTTGGGGGTGGGGGTACTACCAGACCACCCCAGAAAACAAAATAACCTAACCTTGCAAAACTCAACTCCCATGAAATAATTCATCCTGGGTGTCTGGTAATTATTTTATACAGTTGGGACTCTATGAAATAATTTCCCCAGTTCAGCTGAGAAATTATTTTGAGGCGCCTTCGGTTGTTTGCTTAAAATTATTTCAAGGTGCTTCAACCTCTGTAGGTGGAAAATTATTTTGCACCATCATCGGGTTACGGGTGCATAAATTATTTTGCTATGGTTCTTATTCGCTGATGATAACATAAAATTTATGTTAAAAATTGGAATCCGCCGACCCCGGCTGCGCAAGGGGGAGCGCGTCAGGGAATAAGACAGCAGCACCCAGCCAGTAGCCAGCAGTCAATATCCGCCGACCCCGGCAGACGCAAGGGGGAGCGTGCCAGGGAATAATACTTTTGACTCTTGTTTCGGACTACTACTACTACTACTACTACTGCCATGGTGTTTTCCCATCCGGCAGGTGCCTTTTGAACAGAAGGAGTCACAGGAGCAGGAGCAGCAGCAGCAGCAGCAGCAGGAGGAAATAGAAGGTGTTTGACAAGACGGTTATCATCACAAAGGCAATTCTTTTTTTTTCTAGGATTTCAGAAGGGACGTTAGGCACTTTTTGGGCTCGATTTTGGAGCGTTTTGGGCACGAAATTAGGTGGCGTTTCAGCGTTTCAAGTGGTGGCCATGAGCAGCAGCAGCAACAGGAGCAACAGGAGGGGTCTATGTCTCATTGCACAAACAGTGGTATAAACATTGGTCGAAAACTATAAACATTGGTATATTATTGTGATTGATTTTGCGTCATGTTCGGCACGAAATTAGGTGTCTGGCTGCTGGTTTCTTACTTTATTAGAGGCAGTAAGTCCCCTAAGCTATCAGTCCAGAAAGAGCCCAGACGCGCGTGCATAGAGTGAACGCGAGTACGGGATGCATCGAGGTAACCCTTAAAGGCTTCTCTCAAATGACTGTCGTAACCGGAAGCGGAGGGGAAGCCGGAAGAAGGAGCCGGTGATGAGCGGACACACATTCGTAAGAGCCAACTATGGCTACAAAAACTCAGGGGCGGAGCAGAGCTGCGGCTCAATCAAAATTAGAGATCAAATTGGACAAAATTAGATTTCTATTGGACAAAGTTGGATTTCTAGTAGGATTTCAGAAGGGACGTTTCGGCCCCCGAAAACCTATTCTTGTGATTGATTTTGCGTCATGTTCGGCAGGAAATTAGGTGGTGTTTTGCTGTTTCGGCTGTGCTTTAAAAAAGGTGTCTGGCTGCTGGTTTCTTGCTTTATTATAGGCAGCAGCAGCAGTCAAAATTAGAGATCAAAATTGGACAAAATTGGATTTCTAGTAGGAGTTCAGAAGGGATCAGTGTCGCCCCCGAAAACCTAATATTATGATTGATTTTCCCGTCAGTTCGGCACGAAATTGGTGGTGTTTTGCTGTTTCGGCTGTGTTTTAAAAAAGGTGTCTGGCTGCTGGTTTCTTGCTTTATTAGAGGCAGCAGCAGCAATCAAAATTAGCGATCAATCAAATTTGACTAAAATTAGATTTCTATTGGACAAAATTGGATTTCTAGTAGGATTTCAGAAGGGACGTTTCGGCCCCCGAAAACCTATTATTGTGATTGATTTTGCGTTATGTTTCGGCACGAAATTAGGTGGTGTTTTGCTGTTCCGGTTGTGTTTTACAAAAGGTGTCTGGCTGCTGGTTTCTTGCTTTATTATAGGTAGCAGCAGCAGTCAAAATTAGAGATCAAAATTGGACAAAATTGGATTTCTAGTAGGATTTCAGAAGGGACGTTTCGGCCCCCGAAAACTTAATATTGTGATTGATTTTCCGTCATGTTCGGCACGAAATTGGGTGGTGTTTTGCTGTTTCGGTTGTGTTTTACAAAAGGTGTCTGGCTGCTGGTTTCTCGCTTTATTAGAGGCAACAGCAGCAACAAACAGTGGTATAAACATTGGTCGAAAACTATAAACATTGGTATATTATTGTGATTGATTTTGCGTCATGCTCGGCACGAAATTAGGTGTCTGGCTGCTGGTTTCTTACTTTATTAGAGGCAGTAGCAGCAATCAAAATTAGAGATCAAATTTGACTAAAATTAGATTTCTATTGGACAAAATTGGATTTCTAGTAGGATTTCAGAAGGGACGTTTCGGCCCCCGAAAACCTATTATTGTGATTGATTTTGCGTTATGTTCGTCACGAAATTAGGTGGTGTTTTGCTGTTTCGGCTGTGTTTTAAAAAAGGTGTCTGGCTGCTGGTTTCTTGCTTTATTATAGGTAGCAGCAGCAGTCAAAATTAGAGATCAAAATTGGACAAAATTGGATTTCTAGTAGGATTTCAGAAGGGACGTTTCGGCCCCCGAAAACTTAATATTGTGATTGATTTTCCGTCATGTTCGGCACGAAATTGGGTGTTTTGCTGTTTCGGCTGTGTTTTAAAAAAGGTGTCTGGCTGCTGGTTTCTCGCTTTATTAGAGGCAGCAGCAGCAATCAAAATTAGAGATCAAATTTGATTAAAATTAGATTTCGATTGGACAAAATTGGATTTCTAGTAGGAGTTCAGAAGGGACGTTTCGGCCCCCGAAAACCTAATATTGTGATTGATTTTCCGTCATGTTCGGCACGAAATTGGGTGGTGTTTTGCTGTTTCGGCTGTGTTTTAAAAAAGGTGTCTGGCTGCTGGCTTCTTGCTTTATTAGAGGCAGCAGCAGCAATCAAAATTAGAGATCAATCAAATTTGACTAAAATTAGATTTCTATTGGACAAAATTGGATTTCTAGTAGGATTTCAGAAGGGACGTTTCGGCCCCCGAAAACCTATTCTTGTGATTGATTTTGCGTCATGTTCGTCACGAAATTAGGTGGTGTTTTGCTGTTTCGGCTGTGTTTTAAAAAAGGTGTCTGGCTGCTGGTTTCTTGCTTTATTATAGGTAGCCGCAGCAGTCAAAATTAGAGATCAAAATTGGACAAAATTGGATTCTAGTAGGATTTCAGAAGGGACGTTTCGGCCCCCGAAAACTTAATATTGTGATTGATTTTCCGTCATGTTCGGCACGAAATTGGGTGGTGTTTTGCTGTTTCGGCTGTGTTTTAAAAAAGGTGTCTGGCTGCTGGTTTCTCGGTTTATTAGAGGCAACAGCAGCAACAAACAGTGGTATAAACATTGGTCGAAAACTATAAACATTGGTATATTATTGTGATTGATTTTGCGTCATGTTCGGCACGAAATTAGGTGTCTGGCTGCTGGTTTCTTACTTTATTAGCGGCAGTAGCAGCAATCAAAATTAGAGATCAAATTGGACAAAATTAGATTTCTATTGGACAAAGTTGGATTTCTAGTAGGATTTCAGAAGGGACGTTTCGGCCCCCGAAAACCTATTCTTGTGATTGATTTTGCGTCATGTTCGGCAAGAAATTAGGTGGTGTTTTGCTGTTTCGGCTGTGTTTTAAAAAAGGTGTCTGGCTGCTGGTTTCTTGCTTTATTATAGGCAGCAGCAGCAGTCAAAATTAGAGATCAAAATTGGACAAAATTGGATTTCTAGTAGGATTTCAGAAGGGACGTTTCGGCCCCGAAAACTTATTATTGTGATTGATTTTGCGTCATGTTCGGCACGAAATTAGGTGGTGTTTTGCTGTTTCGGCTGTGTTTTAAAAAAGGTGTCTGGCTGCTGGTATCTTGCTTTTTTAGAGGCAGCAGCAGCAATCAAAATTAGAGATCAAATTGGAGAAAGTTTGAATTCTAGCTTCGGCTTCCGGGGAACCTATTATTGCGACTGATTTGGCGTCATTTTCGGT